TTCATTTTGTCATCACCCTTTTCTATTTCTTTAGAGTAATATTATTAGGTGACAGCGATGAAAAAATTAATTTTTACTCCTAGCCATTGAAGCCACGAGGTCTGACTAGTCTACAGCAGTCAGTCTACAGTGGACTTGCTAATTTTAACAGCATTCTTAGAACGGACAGCATGCAAAGATGGATCAGTGAGATGCAAGCTAGACAACATGTCCACCTCTTAAAGGCCCTAAAACAAGCAAACGTGTAATTCAAAAAAACACATTCATACACACATAAATGAATGCTCTCTCGTCTTACTATTGAGACATATAGAGTATGATGCTGTGGCGGCTAGGCAAAATCAAGTTTTCCTACATTTCATTAGGCCAATATCTTTAGACTTATTTCACACTAAACAAAAAAACCTCATTCAGTTCTAGATTTTGATACTTTCGTTTGAAATCAGCAAAAATTAAGCATTTTAAGGTTTCTTTACAAGCTTTGTTAGGTTATTTTGCTGATTGATGCAGTTATGATTTAATGAAAGTATCCAAATACGCATTTACCTCATACGGATACTGCAATACAGAAAATATTTAAGTACCAAAACTGATTTGTGCAGCATAAGGTCTGATTTTTCTCCTTTGTTCATATTACATATGGCTCCAACATCTCGGAATGAGGCTTCTCACCTGCCATTTAAAGATTGAACACTTCTTTTAATTTGTTACTTACCGAACCAGGTAATGCAGATGAACAACTGCTATTTCCGAGATGGTATATCCAAGTTTTCCCTGAATTTGTAATCATTCAAAATACCGTGAAAATAATGCTCGATTACTAGACAGAGAGGCGAAGTGTTTAAAGGTGTTGTTCGAATGCCACACCACAGCTTCACATTCTTGAAGAGAACACTCTTTACCTTGGTCAATGTTCCGCCTCCATTACTACTCAGTGGTCGGTGCTTAGAAGACTAACCATTAACTCCTAACCCCCGTCTTTGAATACTCATGTATATGAGGAGACAGTTGATGCCAGCATCACTATTGCTTGCCACAAGTATGCAATGTCCGTATCCCCTTCTATTAATGAGCTACATTAGGGATGGGAAGTGCACTGGCTGGACACTGGACGAGGCTTTAAATCGTAGCCTTACCGGATGCAGACGTTCAAGTTTGGTAGAATTCATTCCTACTTGCCACTCTTGAAGGTGCTTCACACCCGACCACTGCATCACGTTGTCCTCCTCTTAAGTGCAACACTCATTGCGTACCTGTCGATCAAACACTCTAGTGAAGTTGCCGTCGCCTTTGCATATGGGGGAGCAATTCTTGACTAATGCCTTCTGTTGGATGTTGAATGCTACGCAATTGCAAACAAT